CTAATCCCCCTTTCAGCGAAAAGATAAAACAGCATGAAAACCCCTGACAAAATAGACAAAAACCCAAAACAAAACAAAACAAAAAAGCAAAAAGCAAATAAACAAGCCAAACAAACACCCACCCCCCCCTTAAAACAAGCACATTAAATATGTTCATAAACTGATTTCGATATCCAACTGCTGTGAGCGTTCGAACACATTCTGTTGAGAAGAATTCAGCTCACGGCCGTAGGTACACGAATTCATGCCTCTAAACGTTTTAATTGAATATGTTGGGGCAATATTTAAATATGCTAACTTGACATTCGGATAGATACGATGTGTAAGGAACAGAGACATCATATGATTGTTTCAATGGTACGGAGAGGGTTAAATTACAAGTCATAATGTATTCAGTTCCCCAAAAAAGTAAAACGTTACCGGGAGGTAAATGGATCACTGATAAGCAATGTTGCTGTTTTTCATTTTTAACTCACCTAACCTCTACTTTTGTTTCAGTACCGTAATTGTTTTATGGCATTTGCAACACAATAAGGTCACTATATTAAAAGTGCCGGATATTCTTAAGAGGTGTTACCATTAGAGCGTAAATAACACAAAATAATAATTTACCGAGGAGAGATAAAGACGACAGATGTTTGATAGGAAAGAAGAAAAGCACGATAGCACCCGCGCCAACCACCCACATAGTCGACACTCAGAATTACGAATAAGACTTGGGTTCAATTAAAGAGAACCGCACTGATGTAGCCCTACTACTACTACTGTGCGGGAAAAGAGCTAGATCTATAGCCTATCTGTCACTATCAGAGAGAGAGAGAGAGAGAGAGAGAGAGAGAGAGAGAGAGAGAGAGAGAGTCGAGAGAGATGATTTCCAAACTAACCCATAATTATCAAAAACGCAACTAACTATAGAATTCATATTAGGCCTATCATTATTTTATTGGCAAATATTTTTAATCTGTGTTAGGAGGCGTGGCAGGAAGTAAATAAAAAAGATGTGAGATTGGCATTCATCATGACCCATCTAATCCGTAGCATATTCAGGCCTAGGCTTTTGTTTTGTGCTATGCATTTTGCATTTTTGCAACCAATCGAAATCGAAGGAGGAAGTTACCCTGAAAGTACTCGATTAAACTTATATATGTTTGCTCAAATAAATATATAGGCTCGATACTTATTATTCGCGCTCACATCCAGTCGAATCCGATTATTTGAGTACAGTCAAACCTGTGTTGGCCTCATACAGGGGTGCCCACTACATGGGATCGGCCGATAGGGCCGATCGCCCCACTTGATCGCCTCAAAAACAAACGTGTTTGTTTTCATCTTCAGGCGATCGAGTCGGACGACCGGCCCGATCCAGCCGTAGTGGGCACCCCGAGGGCCAAAACTTTGAGAACGCCGAATTCGGAGCCTGACTCAGAAAGCGCCATTAAGCGCCGATAGGTATTAGCAGAGACACTAAAATACTCTCTGGTATTAGTCATAAAAATTAAAAATTCCCTTATAATTTCGAACTTGCCCCACATAGAGCTGACAGACTGCAGGCGGCTTTAAGCACCGATCGGTGTTGTCGGCTTAAAAGGAATCCAAACTACATTCTCAATAAGCCGAAAAACTGGGAAGGGCGCCCGCTGTCACGATTCCGTTAAGACACTAGGTTTCTGTCTAATACAAGTTACCGTTAAGGCAGGTTCGAATTAAGCT